GATAGATAGATAGATAGATAGATAGATAGATAGATAGATAGATAGATAGATAGATAGATAGATAGATAGATGAATGAAAAGCGGAGAGAGACAAAGATAACGAGATAAAAGAAAGTCACCCGAAAGCTAAGTGTTTTATGTATTAGTTAATGTTGCTTAAATGAATATAAATTAGTTATTATTTTAGTTGTTTTTCTAGTTTATTAGTTATTATAATTATTAAATATTATTTATTGATTTGATTTAATTTTGCAATGGTGCAATTAGTTGGTCAAACAAGGATTTATTTATTTTTAATTTCAGGCATTGATGCACTTAAAATCTTTTCTGTTGCAGACTTAAAACACAATTTAATAAAGTTATTCTTTGTAAGGTTGACCATATGTCTTTATTTTTTTCTTTTCTTTAATGTTAATCAGGATAGAAATGTTATGCAGAGTGGGGACGCCAATAGTTTTCTTCTTGCTAGGGGGGGCGTAAAATAATTGAGAATCACTGTTTTAGGGTAAAATCAACTCCTGTTTTCAGAGGATTTTTCATTAAATTGAGTATTTCCTCATTTTGGATTAAAAGGGCAGAAAATCTGAGTTCTCTGGACTCAGATGTTGGTGTTTTATCCAGAAAAATCTCATTAAATGGAGCCGTTTGGGTCCTTTTAGGCAGTTAGAGTCAGGGCTCATCAGAAACAGGAGCTTAAAGCTTTAAACTGGAGCTGAACGTCTGTTTGGGGGTTAAACGACTTCAGAAGAGACTGAAAACCTGTTTCAGGGTTCAGTGGAGAAGCTTTCTGGCTTTTTTTCTGGACTTTCAGTGACGTTTGGGAGAAAATTAGAGCAGATTCTGGAGAAAAAATGCAGAAAATCTGAGTTCTCTGGACTCTAGTTTGGATCATTTTTAGCCCCAAACAGGAAGAAAACTCAGTCAGGATGCAGAAAACCGTCAGCTTTCTGCATGAATTTCTGATTTCCAGATTAATTTTCAGATATTAGAGGATGTTATTATGAAAAGCGAATCTATTATAAATGTTTTGTGTCAAATTGGCTCATATTTTAGGAGGGAGTGTTCATAAAACTGAATTTAAACACTTTAAATGAGAGAAATTCGGATTCAGTTTAATTTCCTTTGGCAATTTATCTGATTATTTCACCAATTTTGTGGAATTACATCAGTTTCTTAAGGAAAAAACTGTCAAATAAAGTGATATGTTCAGGGGGATGTTTCCCCAAACTGACGAAGAGACACTTTAACTCTCATTTTTTCCTCTGAGGTTAAACTAAAGGTATAAAATTAACCTGTTTCCAACACAATAACGAATATTTCCCACTTATTTCTGTAACATCTGATAGAACAGAGCTGATTTCAGGAAGTGAAGCCTCATTCTGGAGGAAAAGCAAAAGATTGTTGGACTTTTGTGGAATTACATCTGTTTCTTAAGGAAAAAATTACAGATTTCCATCATTTTTGTCAGATAAACTGATATTTTCAGGGGGATTTTTCCCCAAAGAGACACTTTAACCCTCATTTTGTCCTCTGGGGTTAAACTAAAGGTGTAAAATGAACCTGTTTCCAACACAATAACGTATATTCTCCACTTATTTCTGCAACATCTGATAGAACAGAGCTGATTTCAGGAAGTTGAAGCCTCGTTCTGGAGGAAAACCAGCAGAACTCTGAGTTCTTTGGACTCTGGTTTGGGTCAGAGGCTCAGATGTTGGTGTTTTATCCAGAAAAAGATCATTAACTCATTGGCTGCCAAATACGTCTATAGACGTCTCTTATGTTTTTAACGAGAGTGTCTGGGGGACGATCTGCTAAAGCTTTTCCGTAAATATCGGCTTCTAGACAGAGTATGTAGTAACAAATTGACCCTCTAGGGGGCAGTGCCACTTTTGATGGGAGATGAGCATAGACTGTAGGCAAATAAGAAAAAGCTAACGGTTCTATGAGAGAACATGTCACCGGTGAGACGCAAGTCCAGGAAGAACAGAATAAGGTAGAAAATATATATTTTTTCCTGATGAAAGAAGAGAGTCTACTCTTTCTTTTGGTGTGTTCGGTGTTTACATAGTCATAGCACAAACTATTCTGTGGCTCTGGAAAAATCAGTCAAAATGCTCAAAAAACTCTGGCAGTCAATGAGTTAAAGTTTTTTATTTATTTTGTTGTTATAACATAGTCACAAACATATTACATTCAACAACAAAAAGTTATCTATTCATAGATATATCAATGCACATATTCATACTCACAGTACACATCTCACCCCAAATCCTGGGGCGTGATGTGGTTTATGATCATTAACGTGACGTTAGCCTTGAATTGCTAGCTGCGGCTAACGGCTAATAACAACACGCCAACATTAATCAAGTACATATCCAATTCCCCCCACATCAAAGTCGGCCATTTTGATTAGGTCACCGGTAGGAAGATCCCAGGCAAGAAAATCCTAATTGCTTCATGGCAATATAGACATTAATTTAAAAATAGTGAAATTAATCTCGCTAACACTGAATTAAACTCTATACTTAATATTATGTTAAAATAGTGGATGTTAAATAGGTTTGTACAATAAGTCCAAACAAGTTTAACCCAAAAAATATTTATTTCTCACAATTATGAACGGTTAGGGTTAGGGTCATTAATGTGGGCCACCGTTTGAAATTAAAGACACTTATACTTTATTAAACCAATTCAACGTAACTAACTTGGTGTAAAATAATACCTACCATTTTGTAGTGAATAAGTTTATTTCTTGTAGCCCTTTTAAGACATTTAAAGGCTGCTCTTAACAGTTAAAGAAGGGAATCAGCTTTTTGATGATGTCATGTGCTTATGATTGGAAATCTTCTTGTTTGGGGAACAAGAAGACTTTGTCCACTCAAAGTAAATGTTTTGCCTAAAGAGAGATAAGTTGGCCACAAGTGGGTTGTTTTTGTTATCTGTATCTCACAGCCTTCCCCTCCCTCACACACACACAGATACGCACGCACACACACACACACACACACTGTGACATACATTAGTAACGTTCTGTAAGATGAAACCGGTTTGTCGACTGTAAACGAGGCCAAAGTGCAGCAGGCATTACGACACAGAGTCCCTACAGAAACTGACTCTAGAAATCTAAAGCTCTGTGAGGCAGGAGGGGTTAGAAAATAAGGTTTTTGTATCAAATGCATGCAAAATAAACAGGGAATCAACAAAAAAACAACAAGAAAAAACGTTTTAGGTCAGTTTGGGTAGGCTTTGTACCAGTTTAGCCTCCTTTTGGACCGGTTTGATTGTTTTGGGGTTAGTTTGGGTCAGTTTGAACTGGTTTAGGTCCCTTTTTGGTTGGTTTGGGTTGTGCACTCAGCTCCATGGGGCAGGATGGGTTGGGAAGTGAAGTTTTTATATAAATTACATGCAAAAATAAACAGGGAATCAACAAAAAAATGTTTTCCCTTTGAAATTCATCTTCCCGCCATGTCATCTTTTGGCCTATTTTGGACAAATTTGGACCAGTTTAGCCCCCCTTTGGACTGGTTTGTGTTTGTGTTGGGTTAGTTTTGGACCAGTTTAGGTTTGGTTTCTGTCGTGGCTCAGCTCCGTGGGGTAGGACGGGTTGGAATAGGACGTTTTTATATCAAATTCATGCTAAATAAACAGGGAATCAACAAAAAAAAAAAATTTTTTGAAATTCATCGTTATCTTTTGGCCTGTTTTGGACTGATTTTGGTTGGTTTGGGTTGTGCGCTCAGCTCCATGGGTAGGACTGGATTAGAAAATAACGTTTTTATATAAAATACATGCAAAATAAACAGAATCAAAAAAATTTTGGACTGATATGGACCAGTTTAGCCCCCTTTTGGACTCGTTTGTGTTCGTTTTGGGATTGTTGGGTTAATTGGGGTTGTGCGCTCAGCTCTGTGGGATAGAACGGGTTGGCAAATTATATTTTTATACCAAATACATGCAAAATAAACAGGTAATCACCAAAAGAAAAACGTCCAGTCCATCACAGGGACACACAGAGACACACAAGGACAAAACAACCACACACACTCCCACTAAGGGCAGTTTGGAGTCCGTTACAAATTCAATTGCGTAACACCCACTCTCTTTTGTTGACCTCTTCACTTCTTCACTTCCTGTACCGACCACCCTAACGTGCAGTTCTCTGCGGGTCCTCTAGGGGCAGTGCGGCTCCTGCTGGGCCTTCAGCACCACGGGGGCCCTGGAGGGCCAGGAGTTCAGGAAAACCGGGAAGCTGGTGTCCCTGAGCGAGCAGAACCTGGTGGACTGCTCCCGGCCCGAGGGAAACGAGGGCTGCAACGGGGGCCTGATGGACCAGGCCTTCCAGTACGTCAAAGACAACCAGGGCCTGGACTCAGAGGACTCCTACCCCTACCAGGGAACGGTACGCGCCCCAGGGGTCCGTTAGAGGCCCAAACTCAGTCCCAAACTCAGTCCCAAACTCTGGACTCAACTAGCCTGGTCCCGATCCGATATCTGGATCGGATCGACAGGCAGGAGAAAATGCAGATCCAGACTCCAGATCCAGTTTATATTTTAAGTCCGATCCCATATTAGCATTAGCATCTGTAACCCGCATTAGCATCTCCTAACCATTAAGTTATCAGAGCATTAGCAACAGCATCTGTAACCCACAGGTCTGTGTCCTAACCATTAAGTTGTTATC